AACATTTAAGTTGGTGAGCTTATAAGCATTTGGTATGTAAAAGTATGTTATTTGTTCCTTGAAAACGTAAGTGAGTTTATCCAGAAAATCATATATTTTATGTTGTAAATGTATCGTAGTCTTAATACCTTGAGACCAAAATGTATAAGTTTCTTATGTTTATAATCTGTAATTCGAAGTTCTAGTTCATGTAAATGTTATGATCCATACTGTTTCCCCCTATGATCACTTAGAGTATAAAAATTATATACAGTCAAGATCGAACGGACAGTCGAATGAGTGACTCTGCCCTAAATCCACAACCAAACAAGGAACATGAAATAAGGTGGAAACACACATTCTAATTCCTATAAGATTTTAATTATATATATCCTTAACCTATACGCTAAGTCATCATAGAATAAACAATAATAGTCCTTTCTGAAATGTAAGTTGCACTAGTATGTAATCCCTTTAAACATGTGTTTCTAGAAATGCATCCCTTGGTGTATTGTAATATCATGTAATGTAGTCTTATTATTATATAAAACTATTTGATAGTACGTTTGCCCTGTAAACCTAATGTAAAGTTAATGTTCAAATGAAATAGTCTATAAATATATTACTCCGTAAATGATTCGTTGTTTTCTCCATGTGAGTTCTTATAACCATACTATAACCTAAGATGACCTGATCGTGATGTTCTTCAGGCATCAGAATGTTAACGACATTTGTCACCCCAGGCCTGCCGACCTAACTGTAGCTAACCGTTAAGGTGCAAGATTGTCAGTCCCGTATAGATCTATACACAAATATCCCGCTCTCCCTACAAGAGACTCTGGTTATAAGTCAGGACTTTCACTGGCACTTAGATAAGTACTTGAAGGCGTCTCATAAATTACTTCATTGAGTTTACAAGTAATAAACTGAAAACCCTTTTAGTAAACGAATATAATGTCCTTTAGTAAATGAAAATGTGATACCCTTTTGTTAAATGAACTGAAAATCCTTTTAGTAATGAATAACTGCATGTATATCTTATAAACTATACCTAGTATAGTTTATATATTTGTTTTCCGTATTATGATATGAACTTGGTAAAATAGAGCCTATAAACTATACCTGTTATAATTTATATGTTTCTTTATGTGTTGTATTTCGGACTTGGTAATATGATGTGTAAGTTCCATAAACTATACCTATTATAGTTTATATGTTTCTTTCTGTATTTTTGAAATAAAATTTTATAATTATATATATAAAACATATATAATTACGATTTAAAAGACAGTCGAATGAATGATTCTACCCTAAGTGCAAAACCAAACAAGGAACATGAAATAAAGAAGAATCACCAATTCTAAGCCTATTAAATCTTAATATTATATATATGTATATATATATATATATATATACATACATATAAGGAACATGAAATAAACCAGAATCACCAATTCTAAGCCTATTAAATCTTATATATATATATATATATATGTGTGTGTGTGTGTGTGTGTGTTTAATAACGACAACAATTGATACTATTTGAAATAATTTAAATATTAACACAAGATTTCTTATGTTTTACTTGTATTCCCCCTAGAACAATGAAAAATCGTGAAAACGTAGGGGTACGAACTCACCTTGAGTGTGTTTTTGGTTGGGTATAACTTGGTCGCAGTGATCCTTGGGATAGAATACGTGTATATAATTGTATCCTAATTATATTGTACACATAATATTATGTATGAATTAGTTGAATTTATATGTTAAATGTTTTAAAAGACTAAACTGATTCATAGTAACTTTTTAGTTTTCTGGAAATTTTGGATGCAAATACGGTGTGTTCTTGGATGTACTTTGAAGGTTTGAAGTTTAACTGGGTAAGTACTTTGATACTTGAGAGCATATAAGGTGAAAAGTATTTACTGTATGTTTTAAATGAATCTCATTTTGTATCTTACATAGGAAGGAAAAGATAAGGCGGTTGAGGTGATGTTTACCTTGGTTAGTGGAATTATCACATTGAGAAGTTAAATCAAGTAAAATATATAGATCTTTAAGGGAGTTTTCGGCTAAAAGGAGATGATTTCGGCCTAACTAAGACCAAAATCTCTTTGATTTCGGTTTGGCATCACACCTAAGTGGGTGATTTTGGTCCTATAGAAAGTGCAAGGAGATTTCGGCCAAATACAAACCGAAAACATAATTGTTCTAGATGCTTAAAACCGAAATCACATTGTTCTTAGATTTCTAATACTGAAATCAAGATTATAAGGTATTCAATTTTGATTTTAACTTCACCTTTTTATGTATGTTGACTCCTATTATTTTATTTCATCCTAGTATTTAGTATATACGAACATATATATATATATATATATATATATATATATATATATATATATATATATGTGTGTGTGTGTGTGTGTGTGGTTTTCAATATAAGTATATGTAACTTATATAAGTATTGTTTTCAAAGTATAAATGTGTGTGTGTGTGTGTGTGTGTATATATATATATATATATATATATATATATATATAAACATATATAAGTATGTATTCTTGGTATCCAAAGTTCTTATTGTATTAATGTTATGGTGTGAATTCACTTGTACACGCTTGTAGCTTAGACTTCTATTTGAACAAGTTTGACTTACATTGACTTGAAATAATAGGTTGTTACATGGAAGGACATGTATTCTGATAATGATCAGGTTGGCTACAAATTCCACAAAACTTATTTTTTTCCCCTTCTTTAATGTCCATTCCATTATGTAGTTTTGTCGAGCGAGGATAACCTTTTTCCATTTGTTTTAAGTCTGAATTTGGAAGCATTCCTCGAATAGTTATCTCCAGCCAATATGATTCATGAGGAACCGGGAAAAACTCAAATGCCCAAGTAGTTGAATACTCAACAATTGAGTAATATTATTGAATATATTGACTATTATTTAAAGAAAGATAGGTACACACACTCAGTACATGAGAACAAGGATATTTGTATGCTTCCCACTTGCCACATGTGTAGGATTTTTTCTCCAAATAAACAACTTGCACATTTTCTCCTTTATGGCTAACCACCTCTAAAATTCCTTTTGCTCGGTTAAATGATTTCAAGCTGTGTGCAGTAGCTTCTGACATTGATGCTGTTTGTTTTACAAGCACATGGGGTGTAAACATATCTCCTTTAGCTTGAGCAGTTGATCCTAAAAGACGCCTGACATCAAAATAGTGAACTAATCTATAGAATGTAAGTTAGACACATGAAGTGATTGGTAAAATACGAGTGCCTTTAAGTACACTGTTGCAAAACTTTGACATATTTGTAGTGAGCAATCCATAACACCTCCCACAATCATGTGGAAGTGTCCATTTATAAATTGAGTGCCCCTCAAGCCATTAACGAGCTTGTGCATTTAGTTTTCCAATTTCTTCCATAATGGAGTTGAACTTACGAACTTGGTTCTGACTCCTAGCACGGTAAGCTAAAACTTTCAATTGTGAGTTACGAAACTTGTCGTGGAAATTGTTGATGAAATGTCGCAAACAATGCCTATAAAAATATTTTCAAATGTCATTTATAAGTTAATCGTACCATAAAAGTGATCTCATCGTCATTGTCATCAGTAATTGAGAGAGGAATATGTTTCATTACTTTTCCAACAACCGATGGATATTTGCAAATTACTTTAATGTGCTTTTGTTGCTTATCAATCGACGTAGCAATATGGATTTGATTGATGAGTTCATTGAATTGTATTCCACTTTGAACCTTGATAGCTTTATTCGGAGACTTGTTGTAAGTTATACCTTCTTCTCCGTCACAAAGTTTTCCATACCAATAGCATAACAATGTGACAAATTTTGATGTCATGGCAATGAAAATATATTAAAACAAAAGTATTTATTTCAAAGGATTTAACATCATATTAATATATAAAACATCAGGTGTAAGACCCATGTATTACATGAGTTCATTTTAAAGAAAAAAAATATGAAATTCTAAACATTTGAGAAGTTTGAATTTACAAGAAAAAAAATTAAAAGATATTGAATTATTAAAATTAAATTGTTTGTTTTTCTTTTAAATTAAACAAATAATTTAGATAAATATCAAAGGAAACTAATGAAACTTTAATTTAGAAAATTTGAAATTAGAAGGAAGTTAATTAATAAAATTGATATGCATTTATTATTACATTTATTGCAATTATTATATTTAAATATCATGTGAAAATTAATAAATTGAAAAAACCACAAAATGCCATGTGAAAAAAATTAATTGTAAATAAACACAAAATGACATGTGGCCAAATCAATGAAAGTGTGACATGTAGTAAATTTTTTTTTTTTTTAATTTATTAGGGAGGATATGCATCGATTACAAAACTAACTACCCTAAAAAGAACATGTATTATAAAAATCACATAAGGTACTTTTGCAAGATCTTAAAGATATTGTATAGTACAAAGACTAAATACAAAAACATGAAACTCGCAAACACTAGCAACATGTTTGAAGTGATGAAAAGAACCATTAACATACATAATAATGGAGTAAAATACATACATGAAACCTATACCAAGAAGGAAAAGACACATATTATGCAATAAAACATTAACAAAGAAGAAACCAATGAGAATGATTTACCTAGGACAGTCAGACTGTATCGTATTTTGGCGGTGGAAGAAGAACCGTAAGCGGTTATTGTGATGGAAGCACAGTGAAGACGAGTACAATGAAGAAGGAGGGAACGCGCGAGAGAAAATCGTAGGAAGGAAATGAAGACTACCAGTTTTTTTTTTTTTTTTTTTTTTTTTTTTTTTTTTTTTTTAATACAATTAATTGGTAAATAAAGTTGAAACTACCTTTACTTGTTAAATAAAAATTTCCATAACTATGTTTATGTAAAAAAACTCAACATTTATGATAGGTGGGATCGGTCCAAAAATAAATCGCGTTTAGTTGTTTTTTAATATTTAATTTTGCATTCTTACTTGTTAGAAAGAGCATTTAAAAGGAAAAGAATTGCAAGTATAATACCAAGAAGAATGAAGAGCTTCCCTCCACATCCATATCCGAACCAAATTCCCTCCTTCTCTACCCTTTTGTAGTCTTCTCTTTCTCTCTCTCTTCCCGCTTTTTCCAATCATTCTTCACTTCTCCCATCAACCAGATCTCTCTCACACAATCCCTCCTTCTTCCCGCCCAATTCAATTGCTCTTCGCAGATTCGATCACTCTGTAAAACCCCCAAATAGACCTCCAAAAAAGGGCTTAATCGATCGCTCTTCTCAATTCTACTCCAATTGTATCTAGAATCAGTTGCGGTTGGTTTTGATTTGCTTCGAATTAGTCAACGATTGCGCCAGATCATGCAACACCAGCAAAATCATAATCATTCCTTCTTAAAACGTCAGCTTCCTTTTACATCAATGAAGCCGCCGCCCTTCGGTGACTATCATCGATTCTCTTCAACTACTGCTGCGCATCACGAATCGGAAGGCATAGTCGTCAAAACTCCTGTAAGCATACACTTTAGTTTCCAGCTCTGCATGTATGTTATTTTTTCTTTTCTCACAATTTATCAAATTCTTGGAGATCTGATCTGTTTGCTTTCTTCTGTTGAGTGCGGGTTATATTATTTCCGTTCATATCTGAATTTTAGCAATTCCTATTATTCGTTTTGGTTCAAAGATAGATGTGTGATCATTGATCAAGTTTGTTAGTTAAATTGACTCCAAGGATCTCAACCGTCAAAGATGAGTCGGTCTGCATGCAAAAATGGGTAACTTTTTTGGCTATTCCCTTTTAAGTGCAGGGCTTTTGACGTATTCTCTTTCTATGAGATGAAGATCTTGATTTCGTTCTAGTCCTAGCACTATGCTTGAATTTAATCAAGCTTTTGGAGGTGTGGTATCTAATATTTTTCTCAGTAGCAGCTGTTCTGTATAAATTGGAAAATGCTATCAAGATTAAAATAATATAGAAACATCTTTAAGAACAACCAGTTTAGAATCATATATTTGCTCAAAAAAATGCAAGCTTTATCATTATATCTCTTGGATTTGAGGTGTGCATATTTTTAGTTTTTTAGTTGTTATTGAAGTAACCAAAGCTCAATGAAAAAGCTTAAGAGTTTGAGGGTGTTACTTACAAGGAAATGTTTTTAAGAATGCCAGCTTTTAATAGGAAATTGACATCCTGCAAAAAGCTTATTCTTGTAGCAGCCATTTAGATGGTTACACCAAGAGCATCATGTACACACCAGGTGGCTGGCATAAGAGCTTAGCAGTGAGTACCCACAACAAAAGAACCACTGAGCTGGCTCACACTGGCCTGCCCTGGTCCTTCACATGAGGACTGAGGTGTAACCGTGTAAGTAAATTAGTTACATAGGAGCCTCACATGGTAATTGAAACTCCCACTCCCACACCTGTTTCTGCAAAAAGATACCACCCTAAAACTGACAGTGGGAAGAATAAAGCTCCATGCCAAAGGCTTATTTAGTTCTCATATAACTTTTAAGGTGAGAGTTAGACATGGGCATTTGTCTATCCATGGTACACAAGATAGATGCTGTATGAAAGATAAAAAAAGTGAGCTTCCGGCTGGGACGAAATAATTTACTTCTTAGCAGAGTTCAACTGTAATTAGGTTGAGAAGCCAAACTACAAACATAGTTTGTTGAGCAGTTTCAAAACCACTAGAATATCACACAAATCAAAAGACAAGTGATAGTGGTTGAAAATTTCTGTTATTGGGAGGGAGCATTAGCTGTATGATATCGGCATATTCTGGTCTTGTATATATAACATTAGTGGGTATATATGGCCATGGGCAGCTAAACTTGTATTATATATATATATATATATATATATATATATATGTATATGTATCCTGTTGACTCTTAAGTAATTCCCTTAAGGTGGGTGCATGCAATAATTGTTAAATCCATCTCTGCTATGCTGCTAGGTAATGTTTTTAATATTAGCTGTTACAAACATTTTCAGTGTATTTTCCTTGATTCTACTATGATCATCAAAAGCTTTACATGTTAGGAAAGTAATCAATCCTTGGACTAAACTTAAAAAAAAGGTATGTCTGGGAAAAGTAGTTGCATGACATCATTATGAATAATGTAAAACATTGGTGTTCCTTTCTTACTTCACTTCTGAATAGGACTTGGTTGTTCCCATAAAATAATACTAGATAAAAGATGGGAATTTTTTAGTTTTGTTATCTATTACTAAGATCATATGCTAAGAACTTGCAAAATGTTGTCATGGCTTTTAATAATGCTTACAGTTTAATTTTCAAGCATATGCAACTCTAGCAAAAGTATTCTTGAATGAGATACTTAATGCAAGAGCAGGGCCAATGGATTGTTAGTACTTTATATTGGCGATGATATGATGTAACTTGTTAGTTGGGTTCTAATACTATTATTGGGGATCTGGATGTTGAGGTATCAAATTCTAATCAAGTAACATATTTTGGATTTTTCTTTCTGTTTACTTGATCTGATTGTAGCAGGAAATGATTTACTATTTACTTATTTTATTATGGCAGTGGATGACATATATGAAAGTATAGAGTATGGCAACATTCATCTTAGTATGGAAGGCTGTTGCCAATAAAAGTTAATATAGTCCCCTTTCAATCAATCTTTATTTAACTAGTGAAAAGTCTTTTTGAGCTGCATCAAATTTGACATTGCTGATCCATTGCAATGCAAATATTCTTTTCTTTCTGAAGTAACCTCCCTCAAACCATTTGTGCATGCGGCTCTTTCTTTCCATTAAGTGCTGTATGGATTAATGGAGGGATTTTACGCTATGTTCTTCTGTCCATGTGCCGTCTGGATGAAACGTTCATTTTTATTTATTTATTTATTCATTTGAGAAAATGATGACACACTTGGTATAGTGGAGGAAAGAATGTGTAAAGGTAAATTTGTAAAAAGTTAATGGGAATGCCTCCTTCCCCTGACTTTATCTGTTAAGTTGTTACTTTTTATTTTTTGTGCATCAGGTAAAAGTGTAAAACTCTTATATAGTTTAGTTCTGTCCCCAACATCTTAGCCATGATCAGATGAATGTTGTGAAAAGTTTCAGATCTAAATTATTGTTGATGGAGTAACCCTTTCCCTTTGAATTGTAATCTATTATTCTTATGCCTTCCTGAGCTATGAGACATTCTCTTTGTGAACAACAAACAGAAACATTGTAATGCTTTTATGTTACAATTGTAAATTTATAATTGGGTTGGGTCAATCACTTCCATATAGTATTGGTTGATTATTATGTGTATACATAGTCAATAATAAGAATTTCTCTTTGTAATGCATAATGGAAAGTTGATGATTGAATTTGTGATATGTGCATTGAAATTTGTTTATTAGCCATTAAAGAGGAAGGGGGATGCAACTAATGAGCAGAGCCAGAGCCCCACTCCTGGAAACACTTTACCTACTACCACTTCTCTACAAACCCCTGTTTCTGGGAAAGCATCAAAACCACAAAAAATTCCTAGAATTGGAAAGTGCAATCGGGCAGGATCCAATGCTGGTGAGCTTCACAAAAAAAATCTTTATTTTGACTCAAATTAAATATTGTGATCAGTTTTTGTTGCAAACTGAATTATGCAGATTCTCCATCAGGAAATAATCTTACCCCCGTTGGCCCCTGTCGATATGATAGCTCTTTAGGTAACTCATAAATAACTGCACCGACCTTTTCCTCTCTCTCTCTCTCTCTCTCTCTCTCTATATATATATATATATATATATATATATATATATATATATATATATATATATAAAGACATTGTGTCAGTTTGTACAATGACAGACTGATATTGATAGGGAAAATTTGCAAATTTCATGTTTCGCCAGAAAAGGTCCCTTGGAACAAGATGAGGCCCTGTTTGTGCAAAATACGTGAATGCCCATAAATATAGTAGCCCTAGAAAGTTTGTCCTGTCTTTGTTTATATTTATATGAAGATTTAGCATGATTTGTAAAATCAGGTCTTTTAACTAAGAAGTTCATCAACCTTATCAAGCATGCAGAAGATGGTATTCTTGATCTAAATAAAGCAGCAGAAACACTAGAGGTACTCTATTCTATTGAATCTATTTTGTAAACATCATTTATTCTGACACGACACATGAACTTGCTACAGGTACAAAAGAGGCGAATCTACGATATAACAAATGTGCTAGAAGGAATTGGTCTCATAGAGAAAAAGCTAAAGAACAGGATTCAATGGAAGTATGGAATTTTTCTTGAATTTATTTATTTATTTTTTAAGAAAACATTTGCTACATTCTAACAAGTTGATTGGTAAACTAGGGGATTTGATGCATCGAAAGGGGAGGTTGATGAGAGTATTGCTAGTTTACAGGTAGGTACATTTCCATCCAATCCATAAAGGACAAAATATGTACTTTCACCATTTTATCATTTTAACCACTGTAAACTAGGGCAAAATACAAAAAACCGCAACATACTTTAATTATTTTATTGATTTAGCCACTCGACTTAGCTATTATTTTTTAGTAGATTTTGTTTAGCCACTTGTTGTTATAATAATATAATATAATAATCATAATAACTATATAGTATTTGAGTTGCTAAATTGACGAAATGGTGAAAGCAGCTTGTGTTTTTCTGTATTATGCTCCTTTTTAAAACTGTGTAACCAGGAAAATGATTTTTTCACGGTCACCACACAAGTCAAGAAGTAAATTGTTTAATCACTCTACTCCAGACAACAGTTAAATGGCTTAATCTATAAAATGGCAAAAAGAGCACAACGTATTGAACTATCATTTTTTTTTTATCAATCTAGTCACTGAACTATTATTAAAAAAATAATATTTGAGTTGCTAAGACAACGAAATGGTGAAAGCGCCTTGTTCTTCTCTGTATTTTGCTTCTTTTCAAAGCCGGTTGGTTAACTCAGAAAATAACTTTTTTGACTGTTAAAAAAAATGTGGAAAAGAACACAACATACTTTCACCATTTTATTGATATAGCTTTGGAACTATTATCTGTTTTTATCTAGCCACTGAACTGCCATTATAATAAAAATATCAGTTGCCAAATTGCTAAAACGGTGAAAGTAGGTTGTATTTTGCTCTTCTTCAGAAAATGATTTTATAAACGGTCAAGAAAAGTAGAATGGCCTTGACTTGAGTGTTCAGATATCTGCTCTTAACTATTATCTTCTTATTAGTTATTACTACACCAAATAATTCCTTATTCATGCCCTGCTTTGTATTCAATGTAATCCATTTGCATGCAGCATATTCTTCCTTCTTAGGCTTGTTTATCTTTTTCTCCATGGCAGGCAGAAGTTGAAAATCTTTCAGTAGAGGAGCTTAGATTAGATGAGGAAACAAGGTTAGGTTAGGTTTATATATACACTTGTTATCTTGGCAATTATATTTATAGCAATGCTAATGCCTAATGCACTATTTTGTTAAATTTGCCACAGAGAAATGCAAGACAGGTTAAGGGATCTGAGTGAAGACGAAAGTAATCAAAAGTAACGTCTCTTATCTTTCTTTCAACCATCTGAAATATATTTGAGAACATAATTGCACACTTGGGAACATTGAATAAGAAAAACAAATGAGGGAAATTTTTAAAAAAATTTATGACTTAATAGGAAAAGCCTCCTTTCTCATGGCCTAGCGGTACGGAGTGGTTCTCTCAATTGAAAGGTCATGGGTTCAAGTTTCTTTGGAGACATAGGTGGTTATTTAGAGTAGGTTAATTAGTTAGTTTGCTGTTTCAAAAAAAAAAGTTAGTTTGTTTTTCTGCATTAAGTTTTCACTTAATGGGGATAAGACTTAGGTGCTGTTTTTTTTTTCAACTTAACAAGCTTAATGAATACAAAACTTAGGGTGTGGGTCTATGAATTAAGACGCCATAATCTATGACTTTTTACTTCTTTAACTTTTGCATTGAAGAATTTATAGGTTTAAAAAAAAAAAAACTCTTCTTGCCCACTTCATTTTACATATTTATTTTTTCTGATTCTAATGGTTTCATGTATTTATTCCTCCAATAAAGGTTTGAATTTTGATGTTTCTTTTTTCACCATCTCCGTCTTGGTTCCTCACTGCTAACCCAGTCCACCCATGGTTCGATTACATGTGCTTTTGATTAAAGTTTGTTTTAAAATTTTCTTTTGGTACTCCAATTTGGTTTTCTGATAGCTTATGCTCTTGATTTTGTTTGGCACTCCCGATTAGGTTTTTGTTTAGTGATTAAATGATTTTTTTGATAGTTTAGTAATTTATAGTTGATATTGCAATTTGTTAATCTCGACTCGTTGTTTTGTTGCAAGCAACAAATTATGTTTCTATCTTCATTGGTAAATATTTAATGGTATATGTATGATATTTACATTAAATAAACAAAGTATAATATAGTCATTTTAAAAAAAAAATTCAGATAACAAAAAAGGAAACAGACTCGATTTCATTACTAGTTCAGTCAATCCCTTAAGCTGGTCTTTTCTTTTTGACTTAATGTAAAAAGAAGGGCTTGATACAGGAGGTTTTTCCCATTAAGTTCTTACTTTCTTACAAGTCTTCCCACGTTAATCTACATCAACAATACCCAAGTCCCTCAAAAAGTGGGGTTTATGTATTGTTTTCTTTCTATTTTCTCATATACTTCCTCAATTGATGAGAAAAAAAAAAACACAACTCTCTCATACATTATCTCAATTGGAAAGATATTTTTCAACATGTCTATTCCATTTAGTAACATATTGACCCATGTATGTATATATATATATTTTCTAGGTGGCTTTTCGTCACTGAAGACGACATTAAGAGCCTGCCCTGCTTCCAGGTAAATTAAATATATTTTTTCTTTCGTAAGTGCACCTCTCAGTTTCTGGATCTGTTAATATTTTGTAATTACTACATTTTTGTGGATTTAATCTATTAATGGGTTTGTTTAAATGTTGCAAAATTTTGAAAATTTGGTGTTTAATAGGGTTCCTTTGTTAAAAAAATTTGTTTTGTAAATATATTATTGTTATATGTATTATATAAGTAGTGTAACTTTGAATGATGGGACTGAGTTTTGGGTTTAATGGGTTCAGGAAGAAACCTTGATTGCAATCAAGGCCCCGCATGGGACTACTCTAGAAGTTCCAGATCCTGATGAGGTAATTTAAAAGGAAATATGATATGCATGCACATATATATATATATATATATATATATATATATATATATATATATATATATTATATATATATAGGTTGCAATAAGTTTGGTTTTGTTATGTTTGTAATTCAGGGTGTTGACCATCTTCAAAGGAGATATAGAATAGTTCTGAGGAGTACAATGGGTCCCATAGATGTTTACCTTGTCAGGTAGGTACTTTCCTTGTCTATTTTGGTAGTTTTTTGTATCTCCCATCTTTAAACATTTCTCCCAACTCCAAGCCCACATGGCACGATTTTAAGCCTTTTTTGTCTTGTAGCTTCAGCCACGCATAGGAATTGGAATTCAATTTCATTCCATTCCATTCCATTAAATTGTGTTGGAATTACCACCACACCAGTGAGGAAATTCATATCATATGTATAAATGACTGAAACTTCCTCTCTAAACCCTACCCTATTATTATTACTTAGGGTTGTAGTATGTTGGTTTCTTCTTTTTCTTATTCATAAATTTTGTTAATACTTGTTTAGTAATTTATATGTAGGTAAATTTTACTTTTTACACCTAAAAATTGTTTTCATAAACACTTTTATAAGTATTCAGGAAAAAGAAAAAAAGGGCTTTTCTCATTATTTACATTCTAGTTCTAGATAATAGAAATAAAGAAAGAATGGCCATTTGAGTATTCCGTTTCCTTGTAAAACATTGTGCAAACCAAAACCCTTGTACCCTGTTATAACATATAGAAGTGGTTTTTTGTGCCAATTTGCCATTTTTAGCCAATTTGAGGAGAAGGTTGAGGAAATGAATGGTGGCATCCCTTCAAGTTTGGGGATGGTTGAGAATCCGACTAAAGAAACAACGATGGATGAGAGGCAAGGAACTGGTGCTGGTGCTCACACATCAGAGGACTTTGTTAATGGCGGGATTATGAAGATAGTTCCAGATATTGATGTAAGTCTAGCTGCTTTCCATCTCTTGCCATATGGCTGCCTGAACTGATGATGTCAATGGAAAAAAGACATGAATGCCCTCCGCATTATTCAAACTCTCTACTAAGTGTTACCTTGCTTGGTCTTTGCAGAGCGACGCAGACTACTGGCTTTTATCAGAAGCCGATGTCAGCATCACAGACATATGGACGACTGAATGTATCCTTTCCTTCTTATATATATATATATATATATATATATATATATATATATATATATATATATATATATATATATATATATATATCTTTTTATACGTTACTCCATCCCTTGTTTGACTCTGTAGTGTACAAAAGACCCTCATTCTCATCATTGAAAGTAGCGTTACAAAGGCTTAAATGCAAGAAATAGCAACCTACTTTCATTGAATTGTTCACTATATCATTCTACTTTCATTATAATAGAATTTTTTTAAAGTCAAATGTCCTGATAAGAAAAAAAGTTGGAAATAGAAATGCTACAAGGTAGATTTTTAAAAAATCAACGCCTTGAAAAAATATAAACTAAAAAAAAAAGTAGAGTGCTGTGATGGTTAAAAATGACGATCTATAATAAAGAAATGGGTTAATGAAAGTACATTGCTATTTATTGTAACAAACAATTCATTATTTTAACAAAAATATGATGATGATGATGATGATGATATGGTGTTCCCTAACTCTGGAGTCAATAGCGAGTGTTGAATGGAGTGATTTGGACATGCTTCATAATGACTACACCATGCCCATGCCATTGCCAGGTGTCACTGTCACCACCCCACCAACTTCAGATGCAAACCCTCCTACTCCTACTCCTACTCCTACAGGGACAGATTGTCTGGGTTGAACAACACAAAAAGGTAACAACACTTGTCAAGCTGCCTTCAATCACCTCCACTAGAGGGAGGGAGGGAACAGATATCTCCAAAATATACAACACTTACACAACATGGTGTTGAGATTTGAGATTCGAGAAACAAAACAAAATGTATTCATAACAATAGGTGCTGTTCTGTGCTGTCTGTAAATAGGGACAATGTCACTAAATAGTAACCAACTTTCATATTTGTTCCACGTAAGTAAGTACCTCACTAATTTTCCTTTTTTGAAGATATTTAACCACCCAACTAACTTTCTGTTTTGTTCCAGTATTGTGAATCACAATCTTTGTATCTTTTGGTTTAGATCCTGATTGAAACATGTTGGTGATATAACTGAAACTTGATACCTTCAAATGAAACTGTTTCAATAAAACACACCACAGCTGTGCCAGGTCAACAAAACAAAGCACTATAAACAAAAAACAAAATTTGTCAACAATGGAACGAAATTGAAAGTCGAGTGGTTAAACCTTTTCAAAGAAAAAGTTTGGGGGTGCTTAGGTGGAACATGTATGAAACTTGGTAGCTGTTTAGTGACAAAGCACCTTGTAAATATTTGAGTTTCTCAGCATGTATCAAGTAGGCTTTGTAAGATATCAAACAGAACAAGGAGGGGGTTTACAATACATGCGTATTTTAGTAACTCTGAATCCATTTGATTTGCACCATTAAGCCTAGTTAAATGCAAGAAATAACAATATACTTCTGTTGATTCGTATATTATAGCACCCTAATACACAGCATTATACTTTATAATGTTTACCCATTACAACAATGTCATTTGAATACAAAGCAATCTTCATTACTGGAATTAGGTTTAGGTAAGTAAAATGTTCTGATAAGAATAAAAATTGAATTGACTGTTAAGATATGGTGATTTTTAAACTATAATATTCTAATAAGAAAAAATTGAAATGACAATGTTATAACTCCATAGTTTTTCAAAGTACAATGCTTTCATAAGACTTTTTTACCATTGTAATATAAGGAAATGGAAGTAGGATGTTATATACGCACCCCCAATGCTTCAACTATAGTTATTTTCAACAATTTTCTTGTCTATTTCTAAGTACAATGCCTCAACAAGAAACAAATTGATAGTATAATGTTGGGTAATGATAAGAAATGAAAGTAGGATGGATGCAAATAAATGAAATTACATTGTTATTTCCTGTATTTAGCCCTTACATATATGCTACAAAAATAAGTATGTATACAGTATACATATGATACATATATCCCTTAACAAGGATTTTTGTATAAGTAAATACAATACAAGAATAGAGTGATGGTTGAGCCAGTTAGTTATCTTTATCCACTTTCTTGCCTATCCAACTAGCAACAATTGGTGTGAGTGCTACAGTAGGCGGAAATCTTATGGGTGATGCAGCTTTATGCGCAGCATATGCCAATGCAAAGGTCCCCACTTTCTCTCCTGTTTCATTAGCTGAAATCCCCACCTACAACACCACTTTCCATGTTAATAAACACAACTTAAGTAGATTTGTCTTGTGTATTTTGCTTGTGCATACAAATCTATTAACTATATTATCAATGTTACCTCATATTTTTACAAGCAAAACAAAACATGTAATATAATTAATTGGGTTAGGATTAGATGCACATTTATGCAACAATGTTTCATCTTTTTCCGAAGTTATGCAACAACGCTTCATCTTAGGATCAAAATAATATTTTATTCTAATTTGTTTAACAAGTTGAAATGTGGTTGCATAATTCAAGTCATCTGGTTATAATGTTGCAAATTAAAATTTGGTTCTAAAACATATATTTCTTTCAAAACCCTAATAGTATACCTTTTGTAACAAGGCTTGAACATCAACACCAGCAGTAATGAGGGCATAGCATAAGGAAAATGAGATCAAAGAGAGAGTAATAGACGTGGCCAAATAGGCTCCACCATATTTAGTCAACAACTCTTTTGCTTGATCCCCTTTTGATTTCTTCACATTCACATTCTCATCTTCCTCCTCCTTTGAGCTAAATATCTACACAGGGACACTTGTCATTTTTAAAATGTGCACCAAATTATAAAACCAATCCTACTTTTCTAAAATATATTTCCTAAAATGGAACTTGTGGCTACAAATCGCCATTATCTTCTTCCTCGATTGAACGAATGGAATAGCCAAATTGAAATTCCGAAGACAAACGTTGAAGTTTACCGTGCATCAAGACATGATTACTCCAACGCTAAGTAATTCGAAATAAGAATTAATAAGATTCGGGTGCAGGCTCAATCGACGAAAGAAACGATAGTAACGGTAAGTCTAAATTGGAGGAATAAGATATGAATAAAAGAAGAAGATGAAGAAGGTACCTTCCATAGACCAGCTTCAAGGCCGTACTTCTGGGTTATCACATCTGGTGAAGAAGAATCACTCTGCTTCGGCTTAGCCTCCTCTTTGATTGCCCTAATCACGACGCTTCCACTTCTTCTTCTGCTGCTGCTGCTACATGAAGAGGAAGTAGTCATAAACGACTTAATTCTTCGTTTTGTTCCGTTACCACTGCATAGGATGATGTTGAATTCCTTGTTGGTGATGCAGGCGGAGGCTGAAGGTGCTGCGAAATGTATGGCCCCGATCGCCATGCCTTCAAGCTTCAAACCTTATTTACTCTCAGTCTGCAAATTACTACACTCTCAAAAGCCCTCTTCCCCGGGGGAAGGAAACTAACCACACAAATAACACACCCAAACCCAAGAATAAAATGATAAGTGTAATAAAATTTTATATTAAATGTTACAAACAATTATAAACGTTTAGAAAGATCATAGAAAAAAAAAAGAATTTTTCAAAACTAAAATATATAATGAAGATTTTTCCAGTTTAAAAAAATTATTTTTAAATTAGAAAATCCAAAAACCTGCTAATTTTTTTTATCAAGCTAAAAGGGTTATTGATGTTTATGTTAACACTTCTTTTTGATATTTCCAGCAGGTCATTTGTTTATTTTGACTCGTTAAGTTGGAATGGTTGTTGATGTGGTTTGACGTGTCAACTTCTCACCTTCAAGAAAATATGATTTTTATTAGAGAAAGAAGGGGATTACATTTGATCCTCCCTCTCTATAATCATGTCCTTGTACTATCTTCAACCATTAACATTATTTTTTTACATGAAACTTATAATTTATAGTGTAAAAGAAAAGATAGTGTAATGATTAAATTCTCTTAGACTTATTATATTACACTTAATACTAAAAAGAATATTCTAGGTATATTTTATTTTATCCAACTCTTATAGTGTAAAAGATAGTGTCGATGAATAGTATAACACTATATTTTGTGTTACACTATTCACCAACACTATATATAGTATTAGGTTTAGTGTGCGGTTCGAAAATTTTTAGTATAGATTTAGTGTATAAGTGAGTTTAGTGTAGAGTATAGTGTAGGTTGCAAATGTCCTAACTAGTTAAGCTAGAAGCCTTGTTTTTCTTCTTTCAATTAGACAAATATTCGTACGTTGCACGGATTATAATTACTTGTTAAAAATTAAAAATAAAATATATGTTATAGACAAACATTTACATCATCGATCTTAACTATAAAAATAATAATTCTTATACTAAGTCAATAAGAAAATTTATTTTAAGTACACAATAAGTTAGATGTACATTAAAACCACATTATATGAATAACTATTAAACATTTAAAAATATTAACATAATAAAACCACATCATCTCAATGGTCTCTATCCGCATCTTGTGCATGAAAAAAATGTTGAATTTAGTGTTATTATTAATTATTGTTATAGTTAACTATTTTGTAATGTAACATCCGTGTAACACCCATAATCAGAAAACCCAAGAAAGGAAAGGAAAAACCCTAGGTCAAAGGGAACTCGTCGAGTACAGGGTGGAACTCGACGAGTCCGAGCGGGATCCGGGTCGAAGAGTAAGTGATCGACTCGACGAGTCGGAGAGTGGACTCGGCGAGTCCGAATTAGGAAACCCTAAGTTTGGGACTTGGTGCCCTATTTAAATTTCTTATTCTCTTATCTAGGGTTCATATACAATCTCTCTCACCCAGAATACCGAACCCTAGCCACCATATCCATTTTTAGCAAGATCTAGCCTTGGTGAAGTGATTTGAAGCTTGGAAGGGAAGGAGGTTCATAGTGGTGCAAGAGGAAGCCTTGGATGCAGAGTTGGTGTGACTTTTCAATTCCCTTGAGGTAATAAGCTGACCTTATTGCATTTAGATCTATCTTATGATTGAGATTTGGGCATATTGAGTATGGAGGAGGTCTATTTCGAGTTTGGAGTAGATCTGAGGTTGCTACCTCAGATCTAGGCTATTAAGGATCCAGAAAGCCATAAAGTTTATGCCAATAAGTTGTTGGTGAAGCCCCTTTGTCACAAATCCTAGCCCTAGAGTGTTTTAAGCCCATATCTCTTTGGTTTCACATAAAGCTTGCAACTTTACGTGAGGAATAGACTTGGGAAAAGTGGATCAATGAATTGGAGCCCCTGCATGGCTCGAAAAGCCACTATATGGATTAAGAACTGAAGTGACCCGACAAGTCACATGGGTGGACTCGGCAAGTTGGATGAAAGTGGGCATGGACTCAACGAGTTGGAAGAACAACTCGGCGAGTCTGTTGAAGATTGTCATGGACTCGGCGAGTCAGGTCGCAAAACACTAACCCCTTCTGGTTAAGGCTCAGATCTGTGAGTTGAATGGTGACCCAATGAGTTGGACAGGATGGGACTCAGAGATCGTTGAACTCGACGAGTCTTGGGGTGACTCGGCAAGTTGGGTCGCATTATGAGAGTTCTAAGTATATGTACTCGACGAGTCAAAGGACTGACTCGGCGAGTAGAGTCAGCCAGAAAGATTGAATTTGACCAGAGTTGACTTAGTTTGGCTTCTAGAGTTCAGTTGGAACTAAGTGATATATGTATTCATATTGGTAGCTCGGCGAGCTAGTGGAACAACGGTTCAGAGAATTGTCGGTCAGCAGCAAGAGGGTTATCAGCAAGTTCAGCAGTGCAGGTGAGTTTCCCTTTGTGTGAATGGGTCTACGGCCACAATGTCGGCCCATGTAGTTATGAGTAGGAAGACCCGGGGGTTAGCCCTAGGCACTATTTGCTAGTATTATATTCCGGACCAAGGTCCGATGTCGGGCGGGTGCCCAAGGAATGGTTTGTATGATAGAGTATACTTGTTTTCTGTGTGATGCATGTATGTGCTTGGTAGGAAGGTGAGTGTGGGCGAGGTACCGTATCTCACCAATAGTAGAGTATAGACGGTGTTCCATATCTCATTAGTAGCAGAGCATGGGCGAGGCCCGAGATAGGCATGGAGTGAGTGTGGGCATGAGCCCGTATCTCACTTACCTTAGGAGCTTAGACGAGGTTCCATGACTCACTAGTGACAGGACAGGGGCGAGGCCCAAGACAGGCGAGGCCTAAGGACAAGAATGCAGTAGGGTATGTTCAATTATGTGTTATATGCTATTTTGTACTATATGTGGTTAGCGGGCGGGGCCCAGAGACAGGCAGGGCCTAAATTAAATAGATTTGTATCCGAGCGGGGCTCAAAGCCAGGTGGGGCCTGGAGCGGAGAGGTCGTTGTAGCGGGCGGGTCCTGAGGTAGGGCGAGGCCCGAAATAGCGGGCGTGGCCCAGTATATGTTGTATGTGTTTGTGCAGGGTATGTGGTAGGTTGGGGAACTCACTAAGCTTCGTGCTTACGGTTTTCAATTTTGGTTTCAGGTACTTCTGGTAGCGGAGGGAAGAGCTCGGGGTGATCGCATGGCACACACCATTGATTAGTCAGCCTGGGATGTTTTACTCTGATAATGAATTATGTTTTGGAATTAATACTTTGAATTTATGTATGACTTATGATATGTTTTTATGAATATGACTTTGATAATGATTTAAAGAAAAATTTTTGGTACAGATTTTTGGGATGTTACAATCCGGTTTCGAGAAGCTTCCTATTTCGGGAACTATGGGCATTAATGGATCAAATGAGGGCCCTAGACTTCAAAGGGTTTGGGTTTTAGACCCAATTGGGTGTGGATTATATAGGTTGTATGATCCAAGCGTTTGGTTTGTGCTTTGGGGCTCAAGGGTATAATGGTAAAAGTGATGCTTCGGACCTTTTCTTGATTTAAGGATGTTAGTTCGGAAGGTTTAAATTCAAAGGAGAGTTGATAAAATTGTATGGCTTTTCATTACCTATTCGATCATATAAAGAACATCGAAAACGGAGTTGGGACGAATGAGTTATGGCCATTGGAAGTTAGAATGGGAATGAGTTTTGACTAGTACATTGGGCGTACATGGCATGTATGTTGGGCGTACATGACTAAGTTGATCGCGATGTTTCTCTCTAGTATGATGGGCGTACTTAGAGTACGCTAGGCGTACTTAGAGTATGCTGGTCATACGCAAGTCAGAGTCAAACCCTAATTTTTGGGTCTTGGACCCTATTTAAAGACCTTAACTTATTGGAAACCCTTCTTATCTTCAACATCCACCCTCTAAAGCAGTTCCCTCAAAACCTAGCCCCATTTGTGAGATTCTTGAGCATTTGAGTGTTTTGGAGTGTCCTAGGTGCATCTTGGAGAAGAAGGACCTTATTGGATAAGTGTTGGTTGTCTTGGAGCTTGTAGATCTATATCTTATTCACCTTGATCTTTCTTCTAGAGGTATAAAGTTTCAATCTTGATGGTTCTTTAATGTGGATCTATATTTAGGTTATGTTTTGAGCTTGTTTTGGTTCCACGGCTAGGAACTTGTGAGTAGAAGTTACTCCAAAACCTTTGAGCCTTTTTTCTAATAATTTTTTTGAGGTTATTAAGTTATAAAAAATCGAATCTTGATGGGTATATCTCTTCCATGCATGAGTTAGTGGTCTTTTGGTAAAGTTATGAATCTAGGGCTTTCGTTTGGACTCTAATAAGCCATGCAAAGCCATAAAGTTAGGAACTTTGTGACTTAAGACGTCCCTTAGAGTTAGATCTGTGAATTGGATGTTTTGGTCTTCAAGCACTAAGCTTAAATTTGAGTTTGGACAGTTGAGTAGTACGCTGGGTGTACCTTCCTGGTATGCTGCGTGTCTCAGGTCCCAACCGTTATGTAACATCTCGAGATTTTGCAGGTATTTCCGAACCCTCTTCCATCATTACTTTGTCATTTATAGTCCTTGGGGTCGGAAGTGTAGAGCCAAGATAAGTTGAAGGGCCAAGGTTGCAACCTCGGGCCAAGAAGGAGTATGATGCGCGTACATAAGAGTACGCTAAGTGTACTAAGGTCCGCCTTAGTACGTTGGGCATACACTTGTGTACGTTGGGCGTACTATTGCCAGGATGAAACCCTAATATTTAGGGTTTGGGGGCTATATAAGCAACATTATGAGCACCTAACCTTCCCTTACCTCAACCTCCACTGCTTCGAGTCATTTTCCCTAAAACCTAGCCATTCCTTTGAGTGTTTGAGCTTATTGAGTGTTTCTTGAGTGCTTTAAGAAGAAGGTGCTGCATCAAGATGTTGGAAAAGAAGATCAAGCTTGTAGATCTGAAGTTGGTTTGTGCCCTAGAAGCTCCAGAAGGTAAAAAGCTTCAAACTTTATGCATATATGTATAGATCTTGCCATTTTTGTTTTAAAGAGATAGTGGTCAACACCTGGACGATTACGCCCCGCGTACCAGAGGAGTACGCCCCACATACGTCCTCTGTTGGGCCTTTGACAGTTAGGCTTCGGGTTTTGGGCTGTTTATGCACTAGTTGGATTTGGGCATTTGCTGGACTTTATGAATAAGATGTTTTAAGCCATGTTTTGATAATGGATCTTGGGATTAGGCCCAAT